TTTGATTCATACACAGGAAGATCGGGAATTTTTATCAAAAATAATTTGGAGCGACGAATCAAAATTTACGAGGGATGGTATTTTCAATAGAAGGAATTAACATTTTTGAGCTGATCATAATCCTCATGTAACAAAAGAAATGGGTTTTCAAGAAAAATTTGATCTGAATGTTTTCTGCATTCCGAAGAACAATAAAATTAACTTTTTCATTTATGATGACACAGTGAATGCAGAGAGATATCTCCAAATATCAAGGAATATAGGAATTCGTGCTTTCAACTGGACGGAGCGCCAGCTCATTCCACCCAGGAAGTTTCCAGCAAACTTAAGGAACTCTTCGACGATCGTTGGTTTAGGCGTTTAGGGCCGTGGGATTGGCCACCGAGATCACCCGATCTCACGCCACTTGACTTTTTTTTATGGGGTGTTTTGGAAGAAAGGGTATACAGTACTGCAAGAAGAATTGCGACGGCGAATAGTGCGGAGTATTGAAGATCTGGATCCCCAGGAAATTGAAAATGCAACCACAAGTCGCGTACAAAAAAACATTTTAAAGTGTTTAGAATGTAATGGACATGTTCAGCATTTATTGTGAAAATGTGATATTTTGTTTACAATTTTGTTATTTTGAATCATGCTATTCTGTTATTGTCTGTACTTTCACATGTTTTAGCCCACAAAATCTGACTTTTTACCTAGAAATGACTGATTTTTGGTACAGTTTTTCCCTGGAAACTTTGAGCCATAGTTGAAGAAATTATTTTGTAATCTTACAAACTTCCTCTCGTTCATTGGTGTTGATTCAGGATACATTTGGTTGAATTTTTTACACGTTCTGACAATGATTTGATCACTTTGTTCATGTGTATAATGAATAATTTCATAAGAACTTCGTTTGAATAATCGATATTTGTATTCATTTTGGAAGATGATTGGGAACACCGTCAATAACTCTTTGTAAATTACTTATAAGAGTAACCGAACTGCTATAAGCTTGATATTTCCACTGCTACCTAAATCCAAACTTTAAAAAAATGTTTCTAGAAGATGCGACTTTATTGAGAAAACTTGACGATTTAGGTATAGAAACATGATATATCATCTTAAAGCATTTTCACCATCTTTCAATTTACCGAGTAATATACAGGGGGTTTCAGTTGAAAAAATGAACTTTTGACTACTTTTATGCACAATGGAAATAATAGTAATTTTAGCACGCCCTGTATGATATAGAGTCGATTTCTTGGTGTTATTTGAATAATTCCACTTTTTCCAAACTATCATTAAATATCAACTTTTCATGAATTGAGAATACTGATGTACTTAATTTCAATTAAGGCTATGTTTTGGACCATATTCAGCACAATTTATTCTTTATCTCGAAAACAGATAGAGATAGGTATAGAACATCATCAAAAAAAAGTATTAAAATACCAGAGCAATTCCAAAAATGTAGATCTGTATATTACATAACACCATAATATAAAAATACGAGTAAGGATAGTTATGTTGATAGGCACTTTGAAAACAATGTCATATAATAATAACTAGCAAAATACAAAGTTCAGAAAACTGTTGTTATTCAGTACTTGACAGTAGTTTCTTGTAATTTATTGTTAACTATATCTTGTAATATATATCGTTTCATATGTCGTAACCATTTCTTTATATGAGTATTGATTTTGGCAATGAAAGTGCTTTGAGAACAATGACCATATTTGATGGTATCAACTTTAATTTTTTTATGGTATATTAGTATAGAATATATAAGTATAGATATGTATATAGATAGATACAGATGGTATAGAAACTGTTATTGAATGTAGGAAATTCTTTTTTTTTCAGTGTGTTGTTTCACGTCGTGGTGGGGAAAGCTTTTGTCTTGATCAGCCTAGCTGGGGTTACTCTGGTGTTCTTTCGCCTGGATCGTACGGCTCGCTCGAAATTTCCTTCGCTATAACCATTCCCTTTCAAGACACTTTTCAGGTGATTGAGTTCCATTGACTCTCAGCTTCACATTACATCGTGCCCTCTGAACCAACGCTCTAATTACCCCTCTTTCTTATTGTGACTGGTGGTTGAATGTTTTGTTCAGGTACCTGTCTGGCTATATTGATTCCCTGTTCACTCTGTCGTCCAATGTATCATCTTCACCTCTGTTCACAAGAACATTCAAGAACGCTAGAGTCCCTTGAGTTTCTCGTTCCGTTGTGAATTGGATTTTTGGGTCGTGAGAGTTCAAATATAATAGAAATATGTTTAGTGTCTCTTCAACATCTTCAACGTGTCATCAACATAGCGCAACCAAAAATATGGTTTCAGGGCCGCTTGCTCTAAGGCCCTACGTTAGAAATTTTCCAATAACTATTTCGAAATGGAACTTGATAGTTGTGAAAATACTTTTTTTTGGGTGAGTTTGATGAAAAAGCATTCCTATCACTTGCGAACTGACGTGAAACCATGTTAAAAAAATGAGTTGATAATAGTGAATAATATTATCATCAACTCCACAACTACACATGCAGATACTTCTTTCATTCACGGGTACCATTCGATTCAACATAGACCCAACCGAAAGGTTTTCGGATGAAGTCATATGGAAGGTTACCGAAAGTGTCAATATAAAACGTCTCATCTCTAATCTACAGGAAAAAAAGGAAGGAACCTGGCTCGAACAAAAGCAGCCTATATGTTTTGTGAAAGCCCAGGTTAGCAAAAGTGTAATTATCGTTTTGGCTGAAGCTTCGACCAATATCGACCCAATATGGGATAGTACTTCAGCAAGTTGGAGGTCCCACCCGTTGCGTAGTACCAGTGCGACAGTTTTTCGATGATAATGCAGGTCGATGTATTGGAAGAAGAGGTTCTACAAACAGATCACTAAGGTCCCCGAATTTGACTGCATTGGGCTCTACTTCCATACTGGTGATCGACTCAAAATTCTACGGAATGCAGCCAACTACTGTAGATGATTTGATGAAAGGTGTTACTGTCATCTAACCTTCTTAACATTCTTCAGAATGTGAAAGAGCGAGCATAATCTTGTTTATGCCATTGTTATTGATACTGATTTCGAATTCTCCTGTTGACTTTCACTATCTAGTTCGACATTAAATACATCAAATGATTTCATATTTTCCTTTGTAATGTCAAGAATGTAACAGGATTGGATACAGAACTGAAAGACCATCAACTGAGTTGTCACTAGACAATTCGATATTCATTAATTTAAAAGGGTTATATTTTTAGGAGCGACAAATTTTTGGGAAAGAAAGTTTTTGTCTTTCTACTACACCATCTTGATACAGAAAAATGTGGAAATCTTCCGAAGAAAGGAAGGAAGTAGTCAATTTTGTAATAAGTAACTGTATACATAGATGTGTAGATCATGCAAAGAAGTAACTTTCAGACACAAATCTGCGTACAGTTACTCATTTTAAAATTGATTACTTCCTTCTTTTCTTTGGAAGATTCCCACATTTTTCTGTATCGAATTGGAGTAGTATAAAGCCAAAAACTTTCTTTCTCACTATTATTCTCATTGGAAATTTCCGACATGTAGTTGTTATGGAGTGGAGGTGGCTGACTAGAGATCGTTTTTCATTCAGAAATGCTCCATAAAGTGGTCTGAAAAAAGTATAACTTCATGGGAATTCAGTAGTATGGAGCAAATTAAAATTCAAATTTTCATTACCGAAAGTGTGTTCTAAAAGTTTTGGAAATCTGTAATCAACGAATAATTCAGTCTTTTTTTTTTTAAAACATATCCTGAACGAGAAACGAGACAGAATTTTTAGGGCATGGTTCACTACATAGATGTAAAACAATTTCGGAAATTTGCAAAAATTTATTGAAATCACAAAAAATCATGGAACATATTTCCAACATTTTTGATATTTCAAATCATTGCCAATATGACGAATTTCAATATGAGACTCACGTCTTTAAAAGAACCCTGTCATCTCGCACTGCCCATTCGAAACTGGGGAAATTCAAAGACCTAAATTACATAGAATCATTCAATTATTGTTGAACTACGTTTCTCTATCCTTTTGTTGATCACGATTGAACTTTTCTTCAGCAATGGTCATCAAATTCTTAGCATGCGCTTTACCAGTCTGCAATACCAAGGAATAAAAAACACCTCCTTCATTCTTCAGAAGTAAATGTGGATGACCGAATTCGGCAGCTTGACCAGCATCCATCACCAGCACCTTATCCGAGTCCATGATTGTATGCAGTCTATGGGCGATAGTTAGCACTGTACAGTCTGCAAACCTCTTCCGGATTGTTGATTGAATGAGAGCGTCTGTATGCGGATCAACGTTGGCAGTGGCTTCATCCAGAACTAGGACTTTGTTTCTTCGCAGAATGGCTCTGGCTAAGCATACTAGCTGTCTTTGTCCCACGCTGAAATTAGAACCACCTTCAGCCATTTTACTGTCCAGACCTGAAGGAAGGTCATCAACAGCTTTCTTCAGTTCCACCTCTTCCAGAGCACTCCAAAGGATCTGAAAAAACCAGGGTTGTTACCGAAAGTGATAAAATCAATAACAAAAGCATATAGAATATGCTTCTTCGGAATTTAACACCAAAAATACAACTGACCGATAGAATTCCTGATGAGTTGATAACATGCAATGTGTGCGTTAGGGTGAACGTTTCAGTTTGACCAATTTTGCAGTGGGAGATAGAATAGACACACTTCAGTTCAAACCCAACCTAACCTAGCTGAATCAAGAAAACCTACTTTCGACCTACATTCAGCCTGAATGCAAAATTTCAAACATTTCCTCAAAAATAGACATCAACCCCATTACTTGAGTAACCGTATCGTGATTATACTGCTTTGAGTTCGATCAGAATTTCAAATATGTTTTATGATCTACCTAAGGAAATCAAAGAAATGAATGAGTTGAAATTTCCGTTTCATCAAACAAGATAACCTAAAAAAAATTTTGATATTCATGAAATAATAAACCTTCAATTCTCCTCAATCCAAAAGTTGAAAAAAGTTAAGTACCGAACATAGTCGTGACAAAGATTACCGTCAATTGTTATTCATGTTGTTGAGTTTTTATAATCATCAAAGAATGAACATCATTCATAATCGAATATACAACCTCTGCAAGTAGGTATTCAAAAGCATTTCTTTCAATCGTCATACAGTTTTTCAAAAAAAATTCTATGATCTATGGGGGATTCCTCAGCAATAGTACCCAAAACTTGAAATTGGAGCTCTTCAGTTCCAATTGACAGTGGACCAGATCCTGAAGCGTTTTTTACTCTGAAAGTAGCAACAATTCAAAGTTGTCAGTATGAGCGTCCGGTAAGATTTTTGTCGATGGCACCAAATACCCTAATACCCATAATTTCCATACGTTCAATTTCTTAAGATCTTCAATCCATCATTACCGGCATTCTGTCTATTAACAGAACCATCCATAAAGAAGCTTGTCTAATTACTGAAGCAAATCCGATAAAGGTAGTTGGGTTTTTTGAAAATTAAGGGTTTCGCAGATTCACAAATCTGAAGTCTTCGAACCGGGGCATCTTCATCTAGTTCTTCTGCAAAATGTATTTGGAAGCGATGGAATTTATGATGTTTGAAAATTTCATGCACTGTTGATTTGATTGTCAGCTACTGTACGCACCAATGGCTTGGGTTATACAGTAATGATTCTCTAAACTTGAATTTGGAGCCACTCGGTTTCAACGAATGGGTGACTATATCTCAAAGCATCTTCCACGCTGGATGTTGAGAGAAACTGATCAATTTGTGAAAACGACATTAGACAAGCTTGCCAAGCTTGCGATGAATACTTTCAACATCGTGTTTTAATACGTGTTTCAATCATCAAGTGATAATCTTCAGAAGAAGATCAAACTACTTGCGGTCATAATTTCAATTAGCTTCTCACTGAAATGAAATGATTCCAACTTCATCTTCATTTGAACCATTTCAAAAGGAATAAAATCACAAAATTTGTTCATGCCTTTTCAGTGTCAATGCCAACAAAAAACTCAAATCGCGATAAAAAAATTGCATGTCAAAATAAGATTCACAAAACGAAACAGAAAAAGAACCATTTTACGTGAGATTTTAGGGTGTGATGCTCTACTGCTGCCTTTACAAGAGTAAAACCCTTGTTGGGGCGTGAAAAAGTAATTTTTTTTTACATATGTATTCGCCAGAATTTTCCATCTCCACTCACTTCAGAGTCGATGGCAATAGAAATCAGTGGCCCATACTAAGACTTTCCGGACACCCGGTATCTTGATCTAATCAGTTCATTATTTTGTGATAGAGAAACCATTTTAAATTATAACAATGTTCATGCTGTTCCGAAAGAAAAACATACTGAGCCATGTCTTTCCCTCAATCAACTTCATTGTGTATACTAAAGAAATTCACATCCCGAATTGAATCTAGAACTCACCTCATCTTCATATTCATCGAAAGGATCCAAGTTCTTCCTCAGTGTTCCAGAAAACAGAACAGGTTCTTGGGGGATGATAGAAATACTCGATCTGAGTTTATGTAATGAAATAGATTTTGTGTCGATATTGTCAATGAAAATTCCTCCTTCCCCATCAATATCAGCCAATCGGAAGAGAGCTTGTATAAGCGACGATTTTCCTGCACCCGTTCTCCCCACTATGCCAACTTTCTCTTTCGCCTTAATGGAAAAACTAAGATTCTTCAACACGTATGGGTCAGTGGGGGAGTACCTTTTGAAAAATATATGCTTGAGCTAGATGAAATTAATTCAATAACATGTTCAAATTATACCAATTTGGAATTGTATACCTCTTACTACTCCTACTCACTGATACTACTTACCGAAGATTCAAATTTCTAAATTCAATGTTTCCAGCTTCAGGCCAGTTCTTTGGGGTTGGTCTAACCATATTTTCAGCTTCATGCTTCAGATCAGCATATTCTTGCACTCTCTCCACTGACGTCATCTGATTCTCCAGTTCACTCCACTGCCGCATTCCATATTGAAACATTCCCATCAAACCCATGGCCTGGGTGAGGGCCAAACCAATGTTTCCTCCAAAAGTTTCTAAGAAGGTTATCAATGAGTGATAATTAAAATAAAATCAATTATATTGATGATAATGGAAAATTATATGTTCTATTCAGAAAGAAAAAAAAAAACAGTTTCCGAATTTAGACTCACTTCGTATCAGAAAAAAAGCTTTTCTTAATCCATTATTTGATAATGAAGAAAACTCATTTAGAAATCCCTCCAGAGATTCGGCTACTCAAAACTTGCCAACCATTACAAGAAAAAAACATATTTTGTGAAAAATTCAAGGCACTTTGTCGAACTACTAGGGACAATCAAAGTCACAGAGCAAGATCAACTAATCAGTTTCGACGTGAAAAGCCTTTAACACCAACGTTCCGGTTAAAGAAGCACTTCAAATCATACAGAGGAAGCTATCCAAAAACCAACTGAAGGACGAACCCTTTACACAAGATTAGGAACTGCTAATGGAATCACCACTCTCATCAGTTATAGCCAACATATATATGGAGTGATTTTAAACTCTGGCCATTGAAGAAGCCCACATGAAATCCCGAGTCTGGTTGAGATACGTTGACGACACGTTAATAATATGGAACCATGGGAATATTGAACTAGACGCCTTCCTGAAGCACATCAACAGAGTAAATTTTCCATCATGTTCACAATGGGGATGGAAGTCCACAACGAATTGCCATTCTTAGACGTATTGGTGATGAAGAAATATCTGTATATCGAAAAGTCACTCACAAGGAAAAGTATCTGAACCACGAATCCAACCACCATCAATTGACTGAAAGAAGAATCATCAAGACCTTGCATTCGGGCTCTTTAATACGAAGGGAGGTCTCGAGAAGGAACTATACGTCATCAAGACTTTCATTGGAATGGCTACTTCAAAGCGATGGTGGAACAGACTTTGACTAAAAGACAGCAAGAGCCTCCCAAGGAAGTGAGGCAGTGCTTGTACTTCCCTAGATCAGAGGATTATTGGAAAGAATGAGAAGAGTTGAGTCCAATTACAACATCTGAATCTGCTTCAGGTCCGGAAACACTATCAGTAGCAGTCTCACGAAAACTAGGCCACCAAACGCTCACTGCGATTCCAACAATTGCATTTACCAGATACCCTGTGAGTGCGGAAAATCCTATATCGGTGAAACTAAGAGGCTATTGAAAGTTCGCATTGCCAAGCACAAGAAACACACACAGCGTGGGGAAACCAGCAATTCAGGAATAGCAGAGCAAGTTTGGATCCATCAACATTATATGGAGTGTCCCAAGCTGAGATTATACACACGGAGGAACACTGGCTCAGAAGGAAATTCAAAGAAGCCGCATACATGTTGTCCAACAATGTACTCAGCCAAGCTAGCGTATACGCAACATATGAAAACCCATAATCAAGCGAAAAATGGCCAACTCCCGCCAAACGGTCATCTCCTGCGAAACCGGTGAAGCGGAAAGAGGAATGAGTGAGAGCACTCCAATGACCCATAAATATTCATCTAAAGTCGTCACCCGTGGATACTAACAATCAAATCGTCGTGAAATAACTTGACTTGGAATCGCCTAATTTTTTTGTTTTTTATTTTTTGTTGAATTGTTGAGTAATAACCCTAACAATCTTATAATTTTAGAAGGGAATCCGAATGTGAAAAGCAGTATATCTCTTTTCATTCAAAAAACCTTATGCCACGCTCTGTATATCTAGCTATATCAATGCTATATTGATATTTGAAACTTTTCATCGATAACTCCATATTATACTCAAATTTTGTAGACATTCTCTATCAAAGTATTATAGATATATAGGTAATTTGATTTTGAATAACGTCATTGTCATTAAACTTTAGTGATTATTCAGATAATATCTAGATTTTTAGATAATATCTAGAAATTGAGTTCCTCAGTCGTTGGAGTGATATCAGTTGACCCTAAGTTTCGAGAGCCATCTTCAGGTCAGACAGGTTGCAGCCTATCTCCCTTACCCTTGCGGCTGATTTTTGTCAGAAGGACGAATGGCGGGTAAAAAAGTCTCCAGACATCAGTACCGCCCTTCACAGTGTACCCCTACCTAGCAGGGGTGGGATGGATGAAAAATTGTTCATCCATTAACGGTGGACATGAGGACCAAATTCAACAGAATTTCAGGGGCCTTCTATATTGGGAGGGGTCGTCTACAGCATAATCAATAGCTTCCCTAAGTAGCGGGTTATCGTGAGTTTCTGCACAATGAAAAACTCGCTGATTCCTCGACTGAATGGACTGCTTGATGGAAGGCAGCTGCAAATCTCTGCGGATGGCTTCATTCCGCACGAACCACGGAGCATTCACAGTCATCCGTATTAGCTTATTTTGTAATCTCTCCAGAATGAAGATTTCAGACGGAGCCGCTTGTCCCCAGACCTCTGAAGCATACATGATGACAGGCTTGAACATCGTGTGGTAAGTCGTAAGTTCATTTCTTAGGCTCAATTTAGATCTTCTGTTGATTAACACTAAGTTAATGAAGGTTAACAGATACATACCACCTTTGACAAGCAACAGTGTTGCCAATACAGCAGCTATGTAGATAACACAAATGAAATCCAGCAAAAAACCAAATGTCCTATTGGCACCCAGAAACATAAAGAATGCTGCACTGTTGTGGTTTTGGTAGTTATCAAATTCATTCTTGAGAATCTCCTCAGCTTTGAAGGCTCTGATAGTCGTTAGTCCTTGTAAAGATGCTGCCAGATGGGTGAAGATGGGACTCCGAGCTGAAAAAAAAGTTTGACATATAGATACCAGAAATTTCAGTGGTTATCGACTGAAATACTCACTGATTGATTCTACTCTTTTGACATCTCTACTGGTTTGCAGAAACACTACCCTTATCAAATAGAATACAGCAAATACAATAACGGTGGGTACAAGAATCCATATGCTGAGGGATCCAATAACAGTACTAATTGCAGCAACACAGAGTCCAATCTGAAGAATAATGAATGATAATCTTGTCAAATTTGAACGGGTCAACTCAAAAAATTTAAATTTGAGGTTATGAAATTTATGCATAAATGCTTTATTTTGCAGTGAAATTGACAGATGAAACTTCCAAAATGGCGACTGGGCGCCATCTGGGAAAAAATCAAATGGAAAGGAGGGTCTTCTTACATATCACTTTGAAGCTCCTGACGGATACTTCACAAACCTAGAATATGAACTTAATATATCCACCTGCTACAAAATGGCGGAACATTTGATAATTTCCTGAAGACAAACACATCAATATCGATATTTCTAAAAATATTCCTTTTTATCTGCCATACGGCAACTCCTACAACCTGGTAAGGATTGTTAAGTTATTTTTTGTTAATACAAACGGCAAAAAATATCAGTACGACAGTGAACATCATTGTTCAGTTAGAATATTCTCATTTAGTTTTCGATTTTACTAGTAGAAAGGTACCACGTCAACAATCTCTAAATTGGCCAATTCTCGTCCATTGAAAATAAAAATTGCGATTTTTATTTACGGTGCGACGCGTAACCTTCACGAGACCGAAAAGATTTTCAGTGAACGTTTTCCGAATAGTCCTAGCTATAGAAAATATTTGAGGGAACTCGTATCCAAATTCACAACTACCGGTACTGTACATAACAAAAAGCCCCCAGATCATTGCAAGGCATCCTACCTATCTCCACGATACTCGTTTTGGTAACGAATGTACATTTTTTTCAACGGCAATGTTCACAGACAAAATTGCCGTTATTTTAGTAACACCAACCCTCACGTTTTTCGGAAAACACATACCCAATATCCAAAAAAATGTAACGTTTGGGCAGGAATTTTGGGGAACCATATTCTAGGACTTCTATTTATTGATCAGAATTCAACAGAGGAACTGTATTTGAGAATGCTGGAAACTATTGTTGACCCTCTCATTACTGAAATCGTCGAAGCAAATCCTAATGAATTCGATATGGATATTGTATTCCAACAAGATGGAGCACCACCACATTACTCCAGATAAGTGAGGAACGATTTGGATACTACTTTTCCCTGTCGTTGGATTGGCCGTCGAGTTCCTACAGTATGGCCAGCCCGCTGGCCAGATTTTACACCTTTGGACTCTTTTTGGGGGCTATTTGAAGCAACGTAACTGAACGTAACGGAACCTACTTCGATATTGGATATACGGCAGAGAATAATAAATATTTGTAGAGATATTGGCGTTACTGTGTTCGAAAATGTTCGGCGTGAAATATCGGATACGCTGTGCATATGTCAAGAAGTTCAAGGCAACCATTTCGAGCATCTTTTGAACTGACATCTAGCTTATTACCTCATATTATGTAGTTAAATGTCAATGTATTCAGGCAATTATTAAAAGTTCCGCCATTTTATAACAGTTGAAGATATGAACATTATATTCTAGGGTTGTGAAGCATTTGTCGTGAGCCTCAGAAAGATGTGTCACAAAACCCCCTTTCCTTTAAATTTTTTCTCCAGATTGCGCCCAGTCGTTATCTCAAAAGTTTCATGTGTTGATTTCACTCCAAAATAAAAAAATCTGTCTGTCTGTTTTTCCGATAATCACCTGTCGTCCCCATACGAACGACAACTCTCAGAAGTTGAGAAACTTGTGAGAGCTAAGGATTAACGAGATCTTACCTGTCAACGTTTGATTCCTAACACGGCTGCAGAATCATCCCAGCTTCAGCCAGATAAATTCACTCGAGAAAAATATCTGGTCGAGGCGGGAATCGAACCCACGGCCTTCCGATCGTGAGTCGGGCGCACTACCACCGCGGCTAGTTTCACAATTATTCATGCATTAATTTCAGTATCCCAAATATAAATTTTTTGAGTTGACCCGTTGAAAAAATAAAAAGGGGAGGGGCATTAAAGAAATGCATTGTATATTACTCCGCTGCTCAAGAAAATGGACTATTGCGTGAAAATGAATGAACATTTAAAATGAATACAAAATGAATTCGTCACTGAAGAACTGGGGATTTTTGACTCAAATGCAAAAATCTGATAGTATTTTTGAGTATTCAGCATCTTCATATACTTCAACCTTCATTTGTCAGGAGATAAAGCATTAAAAAGCATCTCAAGACTTACCTGAATTGTATCCAACATAGTCGCAGGCAGGGATTCATCGAGAGTACCGATATCTTTGGAAAACCTGTTGAGAACACGACCACAGGGATTGATATTGAAGAACCGCATTGGACTGTGCACTATGTTATTGAACATCCTGTTATGCATCCGCGTGGAAGCAGTGAGACACCATCTGTAGAAGGATAGAGATCCAAGGTAGGTTAAACTAATGCTGCAAACGACCAGCATCGAATAGTAAATGGGAGTACTGGGTCCTGTGAATAGGGGTGTCAGCCACCATTCTTCGAAAGGATATTCAGCTGAAGAAAAGTTTCCAGTTGGTGTCACGTTTGAGGTCAATAACGAAGCCATAGCAGTAACTTTCATTGCTGATTCGGTAATTGTATTGCCAGTTGCTTGAAATAACTCGGTACTCTTTAATGATGAGGTTGAATTTGCTAGTACGGTAGATTGAGTCACAGCTAATGTTACGTTTGGAACAGTACTCTGCAGTAATTTTCTAGATGTTGCCTGTTGTACGTTAACCCTGAAAAAAAACTTTTGTTACTATTAATAACCCTTTTCTTGAATTGTATAACAAATTATATATTTGATGAGAGCTTTCCGGTTCAAAAGGTTAATTTCAGACACAAAAACATTTTTTGGCAAAACTTTTGCACATTGAATAACTTTGCACAATGGACAATTACAACACAAAAGTTGCCCCGCGATAGCACATGGTATCCGCGTAGTTTCTTTTTGGGTGGGCGTTATCGGCACGTCCGTCCACTACTACCGGTACCACAGAACTCACAAATGTGTGCCAATGTTCGAGCAAATGTTGTCGAAGTTGTCATAGCGATTTCGTAGATTACTAAATACTAATATCAAACCCAATTAACCATATCAGATAAAGATTAATTGGTGGCCTAGCTTTATATTTCATTGTTTGTACCACTGAATTTGTGTCAATTCTTTCAAATACATTCTTTTTCATTAGAGGGGTCATATGGAAATTTTGCGGTTCAGATCAAAATTAACCATATTCCATAAAGATCAAAGTTGTAACCGCATTTTATATTTTAATTACCTCTTATCGATGAAATGGTGCAAATATGTCGAGTGACAGTTATGACAAGAATCATGGTTGCAAACGGTGGAATATAAAATCCAATACGGTCTGATTTTATTGTCCAATATGGCCAACTGAGTAGATATCGAATATCGCAATGGAAACGAGTTTCGCAATTTCTGACATGTAGGAGATAAGCTTAGATTTGCAACTCCATCACCCCTATATTTAGTGAGAGAAAATCTTAAAACTACGCAAGTATTTCTTCGGCGGTACGCTGGATGGTAAACAGTATTTGAAATTTCAACGATTAATTCCTGCTTTAGTGGTAATAGATATTTCCTAATGCAGACCATCTTGATATACCCAATAATAAAAATTTTTTACAGCATGGAATTTGAAATAGAACAAATATTTTCTAATCTGCACGTTTGCAGACGAGTCCTGTGGAATGACCAGCAAGATCACTATTTTGTTCTGTCGTTTCATTTTGTTTGAAGATATTGAAAAAATTAAGTTTGCTTTGAAAGAGCTGATAATATTGAGGCGTTAAATGAAAGGATTCATCAAAAAATTCGTTCAATAGAAACAGTAGATAATGTTCAACAAACATTGGGGCATTATCCCACCATTATAGGAGAGCTTCTCGAACATTCAATTATATTATATTAGGCGATTCTCCAACATGTATTTTTTGAATTCATATTCATTCTGTTATTTTCTCGACTTCTAATTTGAATACATTTTGCAGAATATTTTTGTTATTTGTAGGCTGATTTTGTTGCGATTCTTATTATACACATTGTCAGTATAAAAAATATATCAATTGGTTTCGGCAAAAAACATGAGGGTATTAAATTACTTGGGAAAATTTACATCTGCTCCATTTTTTCTTAATTAATGCCGTCCATTTACAGGAATGTAGTCAAACTAGCCAAAAACAAATATTATAAAAGTAGAATGGATAAAGCTACGAATAAATCAGAAGAAACTTGGTGTATCATTATTGTATCAGGATTATTGGTTAGTCATGAAGGACTTTCTACAGTTGGACTGAATACCACTTCGTCATCGTCAGTAACTTCACAGGGATTTAATATTACCAATAGCACGAACTGCATGTGTGAACTTTTCTGGTAGATGTTCTGATTGAAGTGTTTCTATCAAAGAAATTTTCAATAATTTTTAAAGAATTTGATTTCCAGGTAGCCGTGGAAATATCAAGCTTATGACAGTTTGGTGACTTTTATAAGTAATTGATAAATGGTTATTGACGGTGTTTCAAAAAATCGCCAAAAATGAATGCAAATATTGATTATTCAAACGTAGTTCTCATGAAATTATTTATTATACACGAAAATTGTGATCAAATCATTGCCAGAACTTGTAGAAAATTCAACCAAATGTATCCTGAATTAACACCAATGAACGAGAGAAAGTGTGTAAGATTACAAAATAGTTTCCTTAACTATGGCTCCATAATAAAAGCGCCTTCAATATTACCAAAACCTGTTACTTCAAATGAGGACAATAGCCTACTGTTAACGTTTTGGCATATTTTTATGCATATCCAGAAGCTTCCATTCGCAGTGCAGAAAAAGATTTAGGTGTATCACATGCTTCAGTACAACGAATTTTGAAAAATCACGGAATGCATCCGTATAAATACACTTGCTATCAGCCTGTCCAGCATATGCGGTCTCGGCCTATATCCATCGACATAACGCGGCCCTAAGAGTGCTATATTACTATCTACGGCACTCTTACGGTATTGAAGAGACACCGTTGTTGCCGAACGCTCCGGGGGATATTGAATCCGTTGTGGGGAACGAGAAGTGCCGAATTCATTGGAACTATTCGTTCCCCACACTCAGGCTCATACAAACTAATAAGCCTGATGTAGTCCTTCTCGACTACCAGAGCAAGACGATATTTGTCATGGAGAAAAAGCAGAGGAAAACTGGTAGATGGATTGATGAATGCCGCGTCTTTGGATTTTTGACATCCTAATATCGCGCAGAGTTATTATTATTACAAAACACACAAATTCTACTGACATCGTATATACTGTGAACCGCCTGGGAATATAATGTAAAAGTTAGAATGGAAGACAAAAATAAAATAAAATAATCGGTGAACGATTTTGAAAACAATGTGGAAGGAATCCAAATACCTGGCGTTGAAAAAAAATTTGGGATTTTTAGGAAGCCTTGGTTTTGTGTTTCAGATAGTAACATTCATAGAGTGAGATCAAATAAATTGAATAACCAGGTTGGCCTGGGTGATCAATTTCGACATTGGAATGAAAAATACCCATATTTGTTATCATTTCATCGAATTCACGCAAGAAATCACACTTGATATAATGAAATCTTACACAAATGTGTTGAATATGTAACTCCACCATATATTTCAATTGAAATATATCGTGGAGTTTCATCGACTCCAATTGAAAATGTTTCGGAACATTTATAATTCACCTACTAGAAACAGACGTCAACTTGTCTCCAAACATGAAACCGAAGTATTGATGCAATATTGCCAAACTTCCTTCAAAAAGTATGGATTTCAATGTATTCATCTTGAAAACAAAATTGAATTCCTTTCTTCTGAATCAAACTAGCGAGTTTCAACATTTCCACTACGTGAGTTCACCATTGAAGAGAGTCACAAAAAAGTTACTGTTCTAAAAGTACTTACCAGAATGTTATGAAATAGTCAGAGAAACTGTCCACCGCCTGCGACATTACAAAAATAAGCAGCACCGTGGCCGCTTTCAAAATATTTCCTCCAGCTTTCATATAACTTTTGTATACATGCCAGGATATACTTCCCTTGGCAGTTGCCTCTTTCTCCAGAACTTGTACCTCATTCTCCACAGCCTCCACTTTCGCCAGAGTCATGCGTGACTTCCTTCTATGCTCCTCTTCTTCCTCTTCGATGTCATGCAATAGTTTCGTGAAAGAGGAGTTGGAGTTCCTGATATCTTCGTAAGATCCAGATACAAGAACCTTCCCTTTCTCCAGCAAATATATGCTAGGCACGTGCTTCAAGAACTGAAGCTGATGAGTTACCAAGACCACGCATTTTTTGGCCAAGTAGCCGCAAATACAATCTTCGAAAAGCTGTTTTGCCACGTGGGTGTCCACAGCAGACAAAGGGTCGTCTAGAAGATAAATGTCAGCGTCTTTGTAGATCGCCCTCGCTAGGTTTATTCTTGCTCTTTGTCCACCACTGAGAGACACTCCTCTCTCTCCTGCTAGTGTTCTGTCTCCATGGGGAAATAGGGTGAAATCCCTCTTCAAGGCGCAAACTCTCACAACTTCGTCGTACTTCTGCTGATCGAATTTCTGACCGAAGAGAATGTTTTGACGGACGCTACCTCCAAAGAGCCATGGTTCCTGCGACGCATATGAAATCCTGCAGGAGAAATAAAAAAATGAAGCATATGATTTTTCAATTCCTTCTTGGATGTATTTGATGAATTGCCTTCATCGTATTAGATATTGCGAATCTATTGATATTAACATAACGTGACACTTCAACTTCTACGGTATTAACGAGACAACACCAGTATTGCATAATGCTTCCAAAATATTTTCTAGTGGTTTCATACTCGGGTTCTTGAGAATTGTAAGTAATATTATATTTGTATATATGAAATATTTTAGGTTGAATTTCAGCTAATTATAAGATAGCAAACTGTTGATGTCAAGAATTTTTTTACTACACTGAATTTGTTATGTACGAAAATCAATAAATTTCTTGAGGTTTTAAACTTGTTTGTTCCGTTCTAGTGTTTTTCGAAAATAGATCCCTGGAAATTCATTGGTATAGACCTTGTCTACGCAAATTTCATTCAATAGCTACAGAAATTGTGTCTATGTTTCGATGTTTAATATGAAACATCAAAAAATTTGATTTGTTGGAACTGATATCTAGTTGATCAACTGAGAGACACGTTTGCAATATTCATAAATTTTCAAAACATAAGAACACGGCCGAATTCACAACTCAAGAGTACAAAATCCAGGCTGGTAAGCTATAGTCAAATGGAACTTTTCATCTGCTACTGCCGTGAACATCATCAATGGTTTTTTGTGCGTTGATTGGGAGGACGGAGGACGAAGTCTTGAAGTATCAGCAATGACTGACTGATGAGCTGCGTGGTCACGCGTATTTATAATTTCAGAGAGAGGTGGGTAGTGGTGAGAATGGTGGTAAGAGTGATGGCACGAAGTCAATTGCTCACTCCTTATCAGCACGCACTTTTGCTCAGTCGTTTTGATTGGGTCACGTTATTACTAGGTTGTTTTGATTGGTCCATGTTGTTGACAAGTATACTGCCGGTGGGATATCGATCGGAGTTGTATTCAAGAACATTTTCTACCTTCATGAGTACTGAATATCATGTCCTGTTAAATCATATACCTTCNCAAAGTCGTTTTTCCACTTCCCACAGATCCAACAACAGCAACTAATTGCCCTGATTCGATATTCATTGTCACATTGTGCAGGTTATTATCCGGGTTAGACTTCAACCATCTCACAGAAACCCTATTCAAATGAATTCCAGAATCCTTACTTGTAGGATTCGTGCGTGGTGAGGGCTTAGCATTCCTTCCGCTGGGGTTTTTGTTGCCATCATCTGTAGTATTACGTTCAATTTCCTCGTACAGCAGAAAAGAACGTATCCTCTTGATGGAGATGAGCATTTCAGATACTTGAGATACGGCTTGAGGGAAGAACATGCTGAGGCCGTTCAGGAGTCTGTAGTAGGAAGTGACGGTAAAGGCATAGGCGGAGTTGAGTGTGTTTCCTGTGAGTACGTAGGTGATGATACACGTGAACACTGCGGTTCTGTTCAAGCTTATTGAAAATGAACTCATGATTGCTCGTATTGTGGATGCCAACTTGATGTATTTCATTTCTCTCCTGAAAAACAAAGTCAGTGAATGCAAATGGGAATTCAACACATTGATTATTCAATCAGAAAGTTGAAAAGATATGCGTTTTATAACATTTAATAGGTATATACATATAAAGCTTATAATTTCTTATTCCACGAAAAATAAATTCACGAATTTCTCCAGAAAATGTCAGTTTCATATATGACGGTTACATTTCGGGTTCCCAAAAGCAAAGTCTGTAAATTCAAACTGGAATTTAGCAGATTAATTACTCAATCAGTAAGTTGGAAAAATATCCATTTCATAATATTAAGGATATGAACACTGAATCACATGGAAGTCACTATTTCTTATTCAGTTTGTACCTCGAATATTTGTCATGAAATTGAAACAGATATCACTTTCACTATTTTCATTATTCTGATTTGAAGGCCGTCGATTTCTAGAATTTCTTCCCGACGTTTCGCTGTCTCGAGTAGCTAGCTTCTGCAGATGTTCATATATCCCGAGTTCCTCTTCGATGACTGGGTATTTCGACTGCATTTGGTAAATTGTCAATTACATTCGTTGAGCTTTCCTACCTGCCGTCATGATGTTCTTTATTCTTGAACTTCTTAGAATGGGATTCCATATTTGGTTGAGGTTCACAGCTTCTTTTTTTTATTGAACGGTATTATTCAGCTTGCTCTGTTTGTTTGAGTCAAATTTAGTCATTGCAGTTTGGTTCCCTTCCCGTTGATAGATTGATCCGATATTTAGTATATACACATTGAGTTCTGAGAATCCAAGATGGCCGCAGCTACAAAATGGCGGATAACATATTTTTTCACAACTACCTCAATATGGGTATCGAATGACAGGGCTTCACTAGTAGAATAATAGTACACTTTGAAAAAGATGCAAATTCAAGAAAGCCACAGCTACAAAATGGCTGCAAATGGCCACAGCTGCAACTACATATTATTTCACAACTACCTTAATATTTATATTGTATAATTCAGTGTTCATATGTATTTAGAAAGCATTTCAATTTTGTGTTATTCAATGTTTATATGAAAGAAGCTGTTTCAGGAGGGCAGGGCCGTCGCCATAGGAGGGATGGGAGGGAACTTCTCCCCCTGCTTTTTCGAGTTGGGAAAAAGTTGGGAAATTTTGGGCTGTGAAGATAGAAAAAAATAATAGTAAAAAAATAAAAACTAAAAATGAGAGAAAACAAAAGAAGAGGTGATAAGAGAAGGGAAATAACCAGGAGAAGGTTGGGATTTCCCAACATGCATAACTTGGAGATCCCATACTTTAAATAAGTGATTGAATGTCATTACGATGTCATTGATGACATAAGTAGATCCAATTTATTCCGTGACTTAAAAAAACGTATTTTATGAATGAATTCTGTTGTTTTTTCTTATAACATTATCCATATTGGTACTGAAGAGCTCTAAGGCAAGTGTCTTATGTCGAAACGTTGATGTCTACCAGTGAGGATGGCAGTGTTCCATGTAAGTGAAATTTTACCATTCATTTAGTATACTGTGTAAAAATCCTGTGAATGATATCTGATTCAATTCCATTTTTTATATGAAAGAAGCTGTTTCAGGAGCGCTTTTTCTTCCAGTTTCTCTCTGAAAGTTATTTCTTTGCATGATCTACACATCTATGTATGAAGCTACTTCTTTCAAAATTGATTGCATCTCCCTTCTTTCTTTGATGGTTTTCCACATTTCTTTGTAACAAGATGGAGTAGAAGAAAGCCAAAAACTTTCTTTCCCAAAAATACCTTAATATGTTGCGGTACAAAATTGACGTATCGAAAAAATTGGTAAACGGCGCTATCAGCTACATTTCAGAAATCATTTGGCCTCAGTTTCATCGAACTCAAATGTACGAAACAGGTGTACCGTCAGTTCAGGTCAACTTTGGAAGAGGAAGTTCAATTATTTTACATTTGAAAGACGGATGTCACCCTCAGTTTTGTCACGAGCTTTCACTGTCCTGAAAATGCAAGGCAGCACTGTAAGTAGACCACGCCCTAAATCCACTAAGGTCTTTGGAAGGCTTATGTATTGGTAAGTTAGAGTGCAACAAATTATCGGAAAATAAACCTTGTAATACTGAGGCACTTATTGAGCTGAACAGAATGAGAAGAATTGAGTAACAAAATCAGAAACTAAAAACTTAAAATGAAATGAGTACAAAAATTATTTGAATGGTTTTGTGGATAATGTACTGTGGATAATGTACTGGAAGCTAAAAAATTAATCGACGGTCTTCAAACCTGAATAAATATAATGACACTGACCTCGGCTACGAAACGCTTGACCTTTTTGTCAGAAACAGATATCATCCACCAGAACACTACGTAATATGTGAAAGGGTATTGAGAAAAACTTCACTCAGATGGATAACGTCGAATTTCAAATATTCCAGAAGATCTAAAATCTGCAAAACTATAATTTTTCTCCACAATCCTGAAGAAAAACTCGAAATTGAATACACGATCACAATTATTCAGGTATAATACAATACATGTGAATGGATACGTTGAACAAAAAAACTCACTTACTTTCTCACAGTTTCCACCAGCTTGGAAAATGGCTTTTCCCAAGTGTACATTTTTATGACTTGAATCCCAGAAATTATCTCATTCATCAGACGAACTCGTTCATCTGTTCGGTAGGCTATCGTTAACCGGAATTTTGAAATTCTATTGCCCAACAATGCTGGAATNGTTTGAAATTTATTGCAGTACCCAGTTGATCTGTCAGAATGTTTCTTGATTTAAATTTCATGTGATTGAATATGTAGAGATTCCTTTTAGGTATCGCGATAAGCTTTTATTCTAATTTCATTTCTGTGAAGTCATAAATGAATTTGGTCAATGTGATTTGGAATTTTATTTTGATCTTTTCAGGGCACTTAAATAAAAGCTTGTTTAAAAAGTTTTTTATCGTTATTTTACTCATTAACTCAAAAATTTTGGTTTCCAACTTCGAAGCTAACGAAATTCAATACAGCCTTCTAACCCCCTTTTAGGTGGATGTTACTGATTCTTATTTACGCTATACAAAGGACCTTTCTGCATATTTCAAGATTGTAGGTTCAGTAGCTTCGGCTGTACGTCAATATAAGAGCAGGCATCAGCTAGTAATTTATATTTTTACTTCAAAAATACAGTTACAAAAAAAAATGTCAACTGCACTGCCCGTGTTCGGATCGGGTTCCCGGCGATGGCGCTTCATTGCTTAAACCGCCCCTGTACCAACGCGTATCGTTCCCCGTCTTCCTACAGTAGACGTGACGCGTTTTGGCAGAGACAACGCAATATCTACATGAGTAATTGTTCTGTGAACAATTTCTTTCTCTTACGCATTACAAACTTCGTGTACCCTGTAATAACTGAATTTGGATCAGGTTCAATTCTCGTTTGATTGCAAAGTTGAGAATTTCCATGATCCTCAGTTGGAAACTAAATCATCAATACCATAACGGTGGTGAGATTTGAAGAAATTATACCACCTACGAAAGATATGTTTTCAACAATATAATTGGTGAAATACGTGGGGTTTTCTTCAAAGTGTATTATCATGGATGAAAAATTGATTTTGGAGACAACTGCCAAAGAAGATCCCAGCAGGGGGACAAGGTCGCAAGTTATTGGAGAAATATATGACCCAAACTAGTACATCCAGCTTGATTCAGCCAATATCATGAAACTAGGTAATGGAAGTTAGATCAATAATTCAAACTTCTGTACGATGTGATTGGATAAAATAGAACTTTTTAGGAAATGTACAGCTACTTTTCCATAAGATGTTTTGTTTCAATTATATTGGCAAATGCAATCATAAAAAAGTAACTCTCAAAACTCACTCTGAAGTGGAATGGATAGTAACAAAAATAAAATGCCAGTCAAGCCAGTATATCCAACGTTGTTATAGCAAAGATACATAACCACAAATAACTCCGTTGGAGCCATCCATAGATGATGTATGAAATGAGTAGCCTGATCGAATCTTCCTACGTCGTTTGTCAATAAGTTGACCATCTGTCCAATAGTGGTTTCTGCCAAAGCAGAAGTACTTAGTCTCATCGCTTTTCTGTATATCAGTGAACACAATGCCACTCTCATCTTCATTCCCACTTGCATTATTCGGAAGTTGAAGTTGTGAATGCATAAGACGTTCAGGAGGGCGGATACTACTATCATCACGGCGCACTGATAAGCGTCGCTTCTATCGGCGTCTACTTGATTGGTATCGAAAATTGTGAGGAGTCTCGAAATCAGTAACGGTTGGGACATTCTGAAATGAAATGTGATGATTTATAAAGTGATATATTTGATGTGGTATACATTACACAGATTTCAGCATTACAGTAGATGTACAAGAATCACTTAAATGGAATGAATAAAAGCACTTTTGTCTAAATACCATTGGACCTAAATACTAGTAGACCTAGCTGACAAACTATCAAATCTGAATATCAAAAATGATATCAAACTAATATCGTTCGACGTAAAAAACATGTTTCCTAGCATCCCAACAGACGAATGTCTTCCCCTCGTGAAATACAAATTAGATAAAAGTCATACAAATCCATATATAACTACCGAATATTGCAATCTCCTTGGTACATGTCTGAAACAAAAGTTAACAGTAGAAATCGAACAAAACAAGGAGCCAAACTTCTTAGATTTGAATATTTCAAGAGTTAATAATGATTTTCAATTCAATATCTACCGGAAAAACACGCTCACAGACTGTACAATTCCCTTTAACTCTTTCAGTCCGCTCCCACATAAGTTATCCGCGTTTAGGACTGTCGAGAACACAATACATTAGCATCAGATAATATTCAAAATTATTTCCCTAAATACAAAATTTCAACAGCTTTCACAAGTAATAATAATTTAGGTAGAACCCTGTTTAATGCAAAACCCAAACGGGATGCTCTATAGTATATACAGGCCAAACCGGTAGAAACTTTGAAATAAGACTGCGGAACACGTCTGTTTGGACAAAAAAATCTGCAATGTACGAACATCTTCAAGAATCAAACCACAAGATAAATGAAGATAACCTCAAAATCCTACATATATGNGATTTTGGCTAGAATGTATAAATAGTGATTGAAATTCAAAAGTTCAAATGAATGCTCGTAGAATTCATCAATAATTTCATTGTAGTTGACTAAAAAACTTTCCATGAAATATTCATTCCTAACGAATTATTCAGTAGTCATAAAAAATGAGAAATAAAACTGTCTATGTTTCTTAACCTCTTTCATTCGTAACTAACTAAACTAACATTCGTAATGTTACTGCAGATTCGTCCTATAAGGACATTTTGAATCACAATATTGTGATTGTCAGGAAATGCAATTTCAATGCAAGTGTTGAAAGACATAGAAAATTCATTTCTCATTTTTCATAATGATCTAACATGTAGTAACGGCCACAGCCATCAATTGATTCAGTTATTCACTAAGATTATTTATTTTTTTATAAGTCTATATCAAATTCAACTCACTAGTCATAGAATTCCAAGTACAACGAAAAATGTCTGTTTTCATCTTATCTACATTATCATATGCAAATGGATCCAACTGAATTTTTATCTTTCAGTATTTCAATGTAGTAATTCATTGATAACTGTATCTTCTGTAAATAATTCACTGCTCCAACCATAACTATTAGAGATTTACTTTGAAGTTGTGGCGCAAAAGTAGATCACCATTATATTCAAAGTATCAGATTGTTATATAACAAAAATGTAGGACAAATTTAAAATATCAAATTTGGAACTCAATGTGTTATGATTGGCAATATTGAATTCTCACCTCAAATATAAAATGGTGGAAAAATCAACTGGTGTATTACCTGATAATTTCTGATACAACCAATATAGTTCCCAATAGGACGAGTTCCAGAAGAAAAACACTACATAGAGCCTTCATCAGGGAGGGATTGTCATTTTTTGCTACCTGACGATCCCAAGCTGCCTCCATTCGATCTCCAAGTTTTCCAGAATCATGTTTTCTTCTATGTTGGTACATATCATCTTCTGTTAGTTCTCTTTTGTATCCCTTTCTGAAGTAAGGAAGCAACCAACTGGAAAGAAAAACAATGAGTATGTTAGAAAAGGCCTCTTTGCGGTTATATCAAAAACAGCAAAGAGTGCAGAATGATGGAAATCTGGATTTAAGACTTCGGAATGATCAAAAACAAATCTTCTAATTATTTGAAAACCACCATCTACGGAAAGAATCAACTTGATTATTGAAAAAAATCGCAAAACAAAAAATTCCTGGCCCTGGCCAGGGCCAATGAAGAAGTGAATAACATTATTGAAATCACTATTTGAAATATTCATTTTATCTCCAGTTAGATCAAGTCGTTTCTCTCCTGCCGGTGTTGTGGACAACTGAAAAGCTGTACTCAGAGCTGTCATTTTGGTGGTGCATGTCCAGTTCTGAGACGACTAAGGTCGGCCTAAGTTTCCATTTCCATGTTGCAATTCATTCTGCGTAGTTCATTGTTAGCTGAAGTTGGCCATTTCTGTTTTCGGACACCGCCATGAAAGTTTCTACCTGCTAATATATCTATATGAAATGTTTTCTGATTGCTAACTGCTAAATGAAAGGGTACTGTGTGCTAATATGTCAGCTTTCTCTTTTCCTGGTATCCGATATGTGATGTGGTTCATATTATCTCGACTTTTTCTCTCCTTGGTGGACTTTTAAAAACTCGATATTGATTAGTTGTAGAAGACGGTGTCCAGTTATTTATCTCACATGAATGATTTGTAAAATTCACCCTCTTGTTTAAAAATAACAGCCGTTACCACGCATTCTTCTGTTTTGAAAACATTATCTTGATAATGGAACATGTCTTGACACACAAACAACGACGCATGGTGTGCAAATTGTCCATTAATTATCATGGTTAGTTCAAGGATTTCATCGTAGTGAACTGATGGAAAACTCAATGATAAAACATAAGCACTACAGAAATCACTTGAAATTAGATCCTTTTGAAAAAAACCTTCTCAGGAAGATAATTACACGTAAACGCAGTTATACAAATGAAATAGTTCTTGAACAGTGAAGTTTGAGATTCACTGAGTTGAACCTCAAAACGATAAGCAGCCACAGACCGTCGCGTATTTCCGATATGTACTGCTCTTGGTAGAATCAAATGTGCCAAGTCACTTCAACACTTCCCGTGAAAGTATATATAGGAGAGAAAAATCTCTAACCTTTCTTCATGTTCCAGAATGTCAACATTGCAAGTGATATTCGCGTCTCCCAATTAGGCAAGTGGCTCTTTTCTGGATGGAATCCAGCAGCTTCAGGGTATGCTTACGGGAGGAGCTTCATATATGAGAACAATACTCCATAAAGCAACAGGAGTTGCTGAGGTGTGTGCAGTTTTCTCGTTCGAAACAGTTTTCAAAACTTCTGAAAAACTGCCTTTGCAATTCCAGCGACGTGATTGTACCAAGACATATTGGTGTCCATTTTAACCCCCAACAAACTTATCGTAGCAGAAAATGAAATTGTCTGACCTGACATTATTATATCCGATTCGGAGACATTCATCTTTTTGGAGAAAACCGATTCCTGGGTTTTTGTGGCACTGAATTGAACCTGATCATTTTCACCCCACTTCAAAATTACTTCTAGATCCTCAATAAAATATGCAACCACCTGCTGCCGGTGAAGATGTACATCCGCCGCCGATGTCTTGGAATTTAAATTGAATGACGAAACAAGCGTGCTGTCGCCAGCAAAGCAATATAATAGATTCTTGGTTTTTCCCAATAAGTAGTTGATATGAGGGTCGCATGGGGTCTTTCACCCCGTGTGGACACCTGGATCTACACTGCAATAATAAGATCTATGTTAACGTATGGAGCCATTGCATGGCGACCGAAAGTTCTACAAGCAACGGCCATCCAAAGAGTATATCAAATACAGCAACTGGCTTGTTTAAACATCACAGGGGCCATGAGAGCAACACCAACCGCGGCAATGGAATTAATCACAGGTCTGACCCCTCTGGATCTGTACGTTAAGGAGGTTGCGTTAATGGCCATGGTACGATTACGCACGGCTGGTGTAAACCTTGAAGTAGGAATAGGTCAATTGAGGCTGGGCCTATGGCGGGAAGCGCTCACTGCGCAACCTCTGCTGCAGGCAACAAGTGCTGCAATTGAACCCAAGTTTGTGTTTAATAAACCCTACAAAATACAAATTAAGCAGAACACAGAGTCAGATGCTACAAATGCAATACGGCTTTATACAGACGGCTCAAAGACCAAAGAAGGCTCAGGATGTGGAGTGTACTCCAGATCACTAAGCCTAAGGATTAAGTGGATAATGGGAAGAAATACCAGCGTGGTCCAAACAGAACTGGCTGGTATC